CCGTCTAACGATAAATTAATTTTTACAGTACACAGGCCGCTTAGCCTACAGCATAGGTACACCGACAATAGTCTTAAATACAAATAATAGACCAGTATATATAGAATAAATAAGATTTAAACACCACTAACAAAAAAAAAAAGTTTTTCTTAGTGCAGGGACCTATTAATAGGTATTTTAGGGCCACTAATTCTAAAAATGAAGACAATTTGTTTTATCAGCTCTTGTTTTCGTGTAAAGTATATATGTATTCGATGAGTAGCGGAATTCAGTCGCACAATATAATTGTACGCAAACTTGGTCAAATGTGGTTGTTATTTTGTAATTCTTACTTGAATGCTTACTCGTAATACTTAAATCACACTAAAAATTAACAAAAATTACCCAAAGTACTGAAAAATGTATAAGAAACTTTGATAATAAATATGAACAAATAAAAAAGAGCATTTTAAGCTTATCCTATAAAATAAAGAAACTAATATTTAAAACCCTTAAGCATATATAGCATCTATATAGCATCTTGCGTGTACCAAAAAATTTGTCTATTGTAACCCATGTCATCACTTAATCTGACAATTGTGGAGGACAAAACCGAAATGTAAATATGGCTACTATGTTCAGTCTGGTAACTGCAAATTCAACATTGCAAATAATTGACCAACAATTTTTACTGCCAGGCCACATTCACTTGGAGTGTAATGTTAGATCATCCGAAATTAGAAAGAGCAATGATAGTTCTTCAACAGTATGTGACAGGAAATAATAGACAAGGAAAATAGTAAAACCTGAGATATTGTTGATCATTTGTATGATTTGAATATCTGTATTTTTTATTTCCATCTTGTTTTGTAATCAAAATTTGTTTATCTATTACTTTACTTGTTTTTACATAATATAATAATTTTATATTTTATACCTTAGTTCATTGTTTTTTATTTTTGAAGGTCATATTATAGTAGGTAACACTGTTACAGCAATATCATACATTATCTAAAATGGACGCGGTACGTGTTACTGCGTTAGAGCAACGGTCGGAAGTTCGACACCCGGGCACGGGCGATTTGCTGTAATAAGTAAATATAAAAAGCAAACATAAAACGCATTTAAAAGAAAAGAAAAATATTGTTCTCACTTTCGGCACACACATGTCAAGTTGTTCTTGTTAAATAAATGCAATTAAAAACGTCAAGTCTTTTCCATCTAATTAAATTTTTTATATATATTTATTTAATATCTTATATTTAAAAATAATAATATAAGAATACTAACGTTAAAATTTAAATAGAACTACCATTTTTCCAAAGTACCGCATAACTGATTTAGTCATTGGCTAAATATTCAATGGCTTTAAACACAGGAATTAAGTTTGCTGATTGGTCAATATACAAATAGTTTTTAATTCTTATTTCTTTACACTACATATAAATTCAGTTGTTAATCAAAATATCAAATAAAAGTTGATTTGTAAGACTAACAATGTAAAGATAAAAATAGTTAATACTAAAAATGTTGTGCATTTAGTAGTATGGTTAAACTATCCATTTCTTTTTTTTTTCACTTCATATCAAATACTTTTTAACAAATTTAATACACGAGTGGTATGTAAATATTTATAGTTGTTTAATAATATTTATATTAAAAATAGTATTTTTTTAATAATTGACTTAGATAACAACAGCTCAATTCAATTTTCTTCAAAGTGAGGTCTTTTTTATTAGTGTTAAAATAATTTTTCACAATTTTTACTCGCATAACGTTAAATAGTCATAGTTCATCTACCCTTCGGTGTTTATGGTCATTAAATTGACATATATTCTTGTATAAAGTTCTATCTTAATGTCTGTACACATCAATGAACTGTCGTTTACACACCAATTTCAGTACTTTTAGTTATGCTATATTGGTGAATGCAAAAACGACCACATTCATATTGTTTAGCGCGCAATCAAGACATGATGGAATGTCAATGTTCTCGATTGCTGCCCGCTTTTATTACAAACCGAATATACAATGTTTTATTTTTTTTTACCACAATCATTTCGTTAATGATGCCATTTTTACTATATAAAGGCATATCACTATTAGCAGGGTATATTTCAATACCTCTAGAAGTCAAGCGAGCCCCTGGCATACAAACCAACACAACGATTTCTGCCAGTAAAACGAGTAATAATAAACAACTTTTACAAAACCGAATGAAATCAAAGAAACTGAATATTGTTCTATTTTAACGTATTGTACAAAATTATAAAACAATATACAAACTCGTTAACTACTTTTTTTAACGTTTTCACATTTTGCATAATACCTACTTGTTACAGTATTGCGGTGAAATCAAAAATGTTTTTCGATGACCGATGACAATGCGATACAAGTTGAGCCGATTTCGCTTATCACAGATTCTTAGTTTGCAATGAGATTGTATATAACCGGTAAATTTTTTTCCAAGGACGCCAACAACGTTGTGTGCGTCAGTGCTGTGATTTGGTACGATCTTACAATTAGTGGAAAAATACAATCTTTTTAAAATGAATAATGTACAAATAATATTAAGTAACTTTATCTATTCTGTGATAACAGTATTAAGGGGCCTCTACACCTGTGTATTTTTGGTCGAAAACAACTCATTCTAATTCAAACGTACTGTTCCTAAGAATACTCTGATTTAAGTTTTGAAAAAAAAATTAAGTTCTACAAAACATTTTCAAGGTATCGGCCGTGGCACAATTTTAAAATTATTTTCTAACCGTAGACGTTATACATATATAGGTAGCATATAAATATAATGTTAACCAAACGCAAAAACAATATTTATTTTCAGGTCTATATTGAATGGGCATAAACGAACATTTTCTTAAAAAAATTGTATACACGTTTGGGTAACATTATATTTATATGCTACCTATATATGTATAACGTCCACGGTTCGGTTGGCGTGTGCATGTTAAAATGTGTACAATAATTTTGACGTTTTCAACACTATTGTAATGGTGTATAAATCCTGGTTACCTAGCCGATGTTACAAAAATATGTATTAGGACCACACGCATGGCAGGTTTTTTTTTGCGGGGCAAAACAAAATTCCTAGTCAACATACATAACCTGAACCTTTTACTAGGTAAATTTTACTAACGATATTTATAAAGAAAAAAACATTCCCCCCGAAACCTTACCGAGCCTACGTACCTAAAAATTATGTAGTCACGACAAATAATATTTAGTGTTAGGTCATTTCAGTGAACGGTCAGACATTTTACTTGCTAAAATATTAACAAAAAAAATATCGCAATGGCAAATTCTAAATTACCACCAACTTGCTTACGGAGTGATATGTATAGTTCGCGATTTAATTTTGCTCATGTGTCTAAATACCCGTTAAAATACGGGGTAAATCAAGTTCGAAAATATTCTAGTGCTTTTAAGGAGTGGAATGTTGCATATAGTTGTAAACGATTCAATAATTGTGATTATGTTTGCAATTCATATGTTTGTTGGAGCAATTTTGAAGGCGTAGAGAGGCAGCCCGAGTTCGGGATAAGATCTTTCGCAATCAAAGACATCAATGCATTTTTCGCATTTATGCGTTTAATGCATTGTAAAAAATGCAGACAACCACTACACCGAAGGTACACGATCGACTCATCAATCGCGAGAAATTGGAGTTTACTCACGCATGACATGTTTGTAAATTATGTTGATTTAGACATTGAATATATTAACTTGTAATTTTTTTTACTAATATAAGATTTAAGAAAACAGTGATAGTTAGTGTAATTTTTTTTATAATATTAGAATTAAGAGTTAGGATTGTAAAATAAATAGTTTTACTTAAAATAAACTTATTTTTTAGTTTAAAAAAACCAATGCCTCATTTTATTATTTAATATAACGTAAATTATAATATACTTAAAACTTCATTTTTGGTTAACTATATAATATCAAGCGGCTCAACTGATTATTGCAAGTGTAGTCTAAAAAACTATATTAAAAATTTTAATTTAAGAAAAAAGTATAATATAATAACTTGCAATATATATATATATATATATATATATATATATATATATATATATATACTATTAGATAGAATATAATATAATTTTTCGGTATGTAGGTATAAATCGACGGGTCAGTCTGACGCGGAAAAAAATCGTTATAAGAATTGACATATATAACATGAATATGTATCATAAAATATAATAAAAGGGACAAAAAAAATAGTCGTTAGAAATCTTCGACAATACCTTTGATAATATATAGTATAGACCGATTGTATGATGGCGACAAGCAAGAGGGGTTTCTCAGAACTCTGTACACCATATGAACCCTTAGCGTGTATTATACAGGTGCAAATAATTTGACCGTAACATATGAAAACTGCGATTTAAGATCTGGGGTTTTGGCAGCGTACAGCATTGAACCCTTAGCGTATATTATACAGGTGCAAATAATTTGACCGTAACAGATGACACCTGCGTTTTAAGATTACGTTTTTTGGTTAGCGCTAATGGCGAACGCCTACATTTTTGGGGGTGGCTTATGATTAGAGAGGAAGGGATTTTTTTTGTGGAAGGAGTTTGCAGTGATCAGCATGGTCAATTATTATACTGTGTACACCCGTCAGATGTATTTTTGCTAACCTACCGTCAACAGTGTCTTGTCAACAGTAGTTTTTGCTCAGCAGTTTACATTAATTTTCACTGTTTAATTTTATATATATCGATTTTGTGTTTTTTTAAAAACAAAATATCATATTATAATCTTAATATTATTTTATTACCGCATATAACATATTAACGCATTTAATCTAATAGCTTAAATAACATATTAACACATACTAACGCACTTAACACATTTTTTAAGCTTTTTAACCTATTAACATAATATTACATATTTTTAACATATTATTATTATTTTAGTAAACTTATTAAATTCTTAAACATGTATAAGTGTAGTTTGTGTGATAAATCATTCTCTACAAGCTCTAATCTTAATAGACATTCAAAAGTCCACCAAGGTATTAGGTTTGCATGCGGAGAATGTGATTTTGACTTCAAATATCAGGGGAATCTATCCAGACACTGCATTGCCAAACACGGTAAGAAAAATTTTTTTTGTTTATACTAAAAAAATGTGATTTAATTTAATAAAATATAACATTTATTCAGCTGGTGCGGGGCGAAACGGGCGTCCAGGAAATCCTCTTCAACAAAGGGCATCGGTTATTCAGCACACATCACACATGCCTTCAACATCTGGTTTAGGTTAGTAAATGAATTATTTTATACAAGTATATAGTGATTTTGTTTATAAGAGAAACGTGAAACACATCACCAATATTAAATTAAAATATATTTACTTTAACACCATGGAAAGAAAAAAAATTAGCTTGTAAACAAATATATTCACAATATATCATTGAATAGATATTTAAATTTAATTTTAAAAAAATATATATAGCCATTCATATATTTTATGGTTATAAATTATTTTTTCCAATGCAGGTCGACAGACAGAACAACAGTTTTGGGAAAGCGAAGACGACGAAACATTTGTCCAAGCCGAAAATAATATGGCGTCAACTTCAAGAGTTGCTACAGGTTAGTGAAAAATATTTATACCGCATTAATTTTTTTATACGTTAGGTTAGGGTAGGTTACCGCAGTAGGTTTTTTTATACGTAACATTCACTATAAATTATTTAGTAAAAAATATGTATAGTTATGACTTTAATAAATTGTTTAGAGTAAATATTATACATTTCGCCCTACCGTCCTGGTCAATTTTTTTTCAATTTATTAACACTTAGACACATTTTTACGGTTTATATTAAGTAAGGCCATTATTATATTATTAGGTGTAGATAAAAGATCGTTCGAAGAACTGTGTGACAGCGAAGGCGATGAGGCATGTTTGCAGGCTCTTGATAGTATAACGGTCAACAGAGAAAACAACGCAAATAATAAACGGTTGAAAAGCCACCGTTTAGATGCAGTAACGAGAGAAGGATTCGTTTTGACCACCACAGGGTTTAGAGGTTTATGTAAAGCCTATTATAAGAAAAATTTTAATCAATTAGCGGACTATGAATCTTTCTTGGCTGATACCAAACCTCAACTAATCGAACTTCTTAAAACACTCGTTGCTGAAAATGCTATCAAATATACGTTGAAACTTGAGTCGACTTACAAAATCCCATCCACCGATGTTCTTGAAAACCGGGCTTTCAAGACGTCTGCGAAGACATTGCTACCTGAGACCATCATTGAAGACTAAATAACTGATGACTTTAACAAATTATTAGTTGAAGAAGAAGACGTGGCTGGCAAAGGATCGGGGTTTTCTCTGGAAAAGATTGATGGTATATTAGTAGATGTGTTTAAATATTCGCCTTTCGGTGGCTCAATGTATATACCACTCCCGGAAGCCATTGAAAATAGGAAAGCAACAGTCAATGTACAAAACACGGATCAGCAATGTTTTCGATACAGTATATTGGCAAAACACGTGACTACATCTAACCCGCACAGAGTATCACACTATGAAGGTGTGGTAGACCGGTACAACTTTGCCGGAATTAGTTTCCCCACGCCGTTGTCCGAAGTAAAGAAATTTGAGAAGAATAATAAAGAAGTGTCCATCAATGTTTATGGTTTCAAGAAAGGTAATCGTACATATAAAAACAAGGCAAAGAACAACATTCCTAACCATAACAATGAAAAAAAAGATTACATTATTATTCCATACCGAGTATGCACCATTGAGCAACCGAATCATTGCGATCTGTTATACTTCGATGATGGGAAAGGCAACTTTCATTATTGCTATATCAGAAACCTGACACGACTGGTTGGTCAGCAAATGTCTAAAAATAACAAAGAAAAGGCCATATGCAGACGATGTTTCAAGACTTATGTGGATGAAGCAGGAAAACCCCCAAAGGAATCCAGACTGGACGAGCATAGAAGAATATGCAACAAAAATGAATCTGTGACGCCAATTCTACCCCCACCAAAAACTTATATGAAATTTGAAAATTATGGTAATACTCAAAAACATGATTTTGTGATTTATGCGGATTTTGTGCTGCAGATAGTCATTTCGGGAAAACTACTGTTACCCAAGACCACGTGCCCATGAGTTATGTGTACTTAGTCAAGCCTAGCGAGGATGTTCCAAAAGAGTTGTTAAATCGATTTAACATACCTAAAACTCCGGTTGTTTACTGCGGTAATAAAAACAGCGAATTAAATGATGTGCCAAAACATTTTATTCAAAGTATTACCGATGTAGCACGGAATATCGAGCAGCTTTTAAACGTTAATACCCCTATAAGCATGTCGACACAGGACGATAGCAACCATGACGCGGTCGCATTGCGACTCCGGTGGTGGTCGAGTGCTAATCACACTCGCCACCGCCGGATGGCGCCCGTGCCCGCTTTTCCCTCCAGTCGTCCGACAGGCCGCGTTCGCCGTATGGACGGGTTGGCCGCAGCCGCCGCCGCCGTCGCCGACCGGACACTTCGACTGGAAAACGTCTCGATGACATATTTTGTTTATTAAACCATATATTCATTGTATTAAAATAAATTCATACTTAATACCCGAACACCTGGCTACCCTTCAATCAACCATCTCCTTACCGTAACTACATCATCTGGCGCAGTCGGTACTTGACAGGACTTAAGGTAAGTGCAAATTTTAATATTATTTTTTTTTTAAATTAATCTTCTTTTAATTTGGCACTCCCTTTAAAGTCTAACGAACTTAGCTTAGCTAGACCTTAAGTTTAGTCTAGGCTCCCACCGTAAGAGAGTTTTTTCTCGAAAAAGTTACGATTTTGGGGTATTTTAACGCGAAAAATTAATAGGGTTTCTGTATAGAGTGTACCCGAGCGTGGTTTGTGCTAAAAATAGATATTAGGCAAAACCACAAACCCGCTGACCAGCCGCTCTAATCTGCCGGTAGTATTTCATTCGTTAATTTCCGATCACACGGTGAGGAAATCGTTCTTTCCGGGGGGGAGGAAACCCCTCCGGTAAAGTCGGGGTATTAACCGGTAAAAAGGGAGTTCTCCCGAAACAACCCGCGAAAAGTCGATCCTTTAAAGAGGGAGACTGGGTGTATTACCGGTCACACCCTTTGTCAAGTGCCGAAAAGAAATACCATGCAGGTTTTGCCCCTAAATGGTTGGGGCCGGTACAATTGGTAAAGAGGTTAGGCAGGGGAGTGTTTAAAACCCAAGGGAAGGTCCAGCTAAAGTTACATGTTTCGGCCCTAAAAGCATCTAGCTCTGGAGTAAACCCTTAAACAAAATGTTAATGTTCCCTGTGTTTCTGTTGATAGCATGGCTGAACAGAATCGCTTGTTCCGCCCGTCGCGACAGGTGGCCGCACACACGGCGATCCAGTTGAGGGAGCAGGCTCGAAAACTGTGGAAACTGCCACGGCGCTGGAGGGTCGACGGACCAGGGAGACCCTGGAGGACTGGACCCCGGAACGTATCCGGAGAGCAGAGCTCTGGGAGTTGAGGGCCAACGAGGTGGTGTGGGCGGCCTATGACCGCGGATTCGAGGACGGGGGTCGTCGACCACGACCAGCCGAGGGGCACGCCGCCGCCAGGTCACGTCGACCGCGACCAGCAGCCGCGTCCCACAACCACCGGCCACGCCAGCCAGCGCAAGACCGGCTGGAACAGCAGCGGCCCAATCATCGGCACAGCGTGCGCGATGGGATGGGGCGTTTCCGTCAGTTACCGCAGTCGTCTCCGCCACAGCAACCGCAGTCACCACCGCAACAACAGCCGCCACCACCACACCCTTCGTCAGCGGTGGATGTCACCGCGACACCGGTGGTTGACCTAGGTCAACGTGTTGACCCGGCAGGTGGATGGAGGGAGTTCAACTTTCTCCAACCGGACACGGTCCAATTGATGGAGGTTGCGCCGGACGTCGACGCCTTCTTGTCATCGGGCCCGACAGTCCTTCCGGATTGAAGCCCGACCTGTCGGACTGGGGGGGGAGTATGACGCGGATGGCGTCCGTGCCCGCTTTTCCCTCCAGTCGTCCGACAGGCCGCGCACGCCGTATGGACGGGTTGGCCGCAGCCGCCGCCGCCGCCGACCGGACACTTCGACTGGAAAACGTCTCGATGACACATTTTGTTTATTAAACCATATATTCATTGTATTAAAATAAATTCATACTTAATACCCGAACACCTGGCTACCCTTCAATCAACCCTCTCCTTACCGTAACTACATCAACCATAAGGCTGTCGTGAACGGCGGTCAATGCCCTCTCTGTGAGGAAAAATTCATTTCGTTTTCTAAATTAATTTCGAATAAATTTTCAGTCCGATTTTTGGATAGTTATCGCTTTATGGCTAGCAGTCTTGACAAATTAACAAATAACCTTGCCCGATCTGGCAAGTCTATGTTCTGTTCTGTGTTGAGTGCATATGGGGCAGACGATATAGATTTGGTGACTCGTAAAGGTGTTTACTGTTATGAGTATACACTCATGGGAGAAGCTTGAAGAACCGTGTCTACCACCGATAGAACAGTTCTATAGGTAAAATATAATAACTATATATAAACTAATAATAAATAATTTTTAACCAAATCATTTTTTATAGTTCACTAACCGAAAGTAATATTTCTCAAAATGACTACGACCACGCGTTAAAGGTTTTTAACCACTTCAAATTTAAAACTTTAGGGGAATATAGTTTATGGTTAGTAATATATATATGTATATATATTTATTTTAATTCATCATTTTATTGATAAATAATTATTTTTAGGTATAATGAGTTGGATGTACACATTTTATGCGATGTCTTTGAATCGTTTAGGGAACTTTGTATAACTACATATTCTCTAGATCCCTGTTTTTACTACACATTACCCGGATATTCTTTCTATGTTTGTTTGAAACATACTAAAGTTGAACTGGAATTGTTGTCTGACTACGATATGCTTCTAATGTTTGAGAATGGTAAAAATATATAAATTTACAGAATAATAATAACTTAATTAATATATAAATATATCGTTTAGGCATAAGAGGAGGACTGACACAAGCATCGAAAAGATACTCCAAAGCCAACCACGCTAAAACACCGTACTACAACCCTGCAGAGCCAAATAGTTGGATTATTTATCTGGATGCCACGAACTTGTAACTACTTATACTATATATATATATATATAATAAAACAGTATATTTGTTTAATTTACATATTATAATTACTTTAGATACGGATGGGCAATGTCTCAGGCTTTACCTTTGGGGAATTTCAAATGGTATGAAGGTGCATTCGGTTCATACAGTGAAAAATCTATAAAAAAAATGTGATAAGAAGTCGAAAACTGGGTTGATGTTGGAAGTTGATATAGAGTACCCTAGGTCCCTTCACGACAAGCATTCAGATTTGCCTTTTATGTGCGAGAGGTTAGCACCAGCTGGTTCTCGCATAAAAAAATTAGTCGCCACCTAACAGAATAAACAGCGGTATATTGTACACCATTCAATCTTGAAACAGGCATTAGAGGCTGAGCTTATTCTTAAAAAAGTCCACAGAATTCTAAGCTTTGACCAAAGTCCGTGGTTGGGGAGTTATATCTCACTTAACACGGAAATGAGGAAAAAAGCCATCAATGATTTTCAAAAGGATTTCTTTAAGATTATGAACAATGCCGTTTTTGGTTAGTATCTAAACATTAAAATAAATATAATATATTATATTATAATATCAAATTAATTATTTTTTAAACAGGTAAAACTATGGAGAATGTTCGCAACCGAATGAAAATGTCACTTGTATGCAGTCCTGAGTCTTGTCAAAGGTTAATTAACAAGCCTACATTTAAAGTTGTCACGCAATATAATGAAAACTTGTATGCGGTACACCTAAATAAGGATGTTTGAACTTTTGATAAACCAGTCTACGTTGGGTTTTCCGTCTTGGAAATTTCCAAGACGTTAATGTATGATTTTCATTACAATGTAATGAAAAAGTACTACGGTTGCGACATTGAACTACTCTATATGGATACAGGTATATTATTATTAACCAATTTTATTTTAAACACAATTATATTTAATATTACTTTTTCAGATTCTCTAATGTACCTGATTAAGACCAAAGATTTTTATGCCGATGTGTTGTCCAAACCGGGTTTTTTAGAAAAATTGGATACATCCAATTTTCCACCTTCACATCCATGTTATAGGACAGAAAGAAAAAAAGTTCCTGGGACTTTTACAGGTCA